CCTCTGCCAGCTGTTAAAGGTAAAGCATATTATTTCCACGGGGTGGGTTGTTCTAGGGTTTGTGAGTTCCCTATGAGATGATCAGAAAGAAGCTCTTCTTGTAAGGACAAAAAGAAAAGTTGAACCAACTAACCAACTACAAAGTTTGAATTAAGAAAAAAAAAACAAAACAAAAGAAAATAAAAGAAAAGAAGGAAAGAAAAGAAGAGAAAAGAGCCCGGCCAGCATGGCTCAGTTGTTTAGCTTAAACCTAGGAACCAGGAGATTTCCATTCGATTCCCAGTCATGGCAAATGCCTGGATTACAGTCTTGATCCCTAGTAGGGGGCATACAGGAGGCAAACAATCCGTGATACTCTGTCATTAGTGATCTTTCTCTTTCTCTCCCTCTCCTTTCCTCTCTGAAATTAGTAAAAGTATATGAAAAAATCGAAAGAATAATCATGGCACTGTAAAGTAGAGCATTGAGTCAATCCTATACAATAAAAGGCTAATATGCAAATCCACCAAATGGCAGAACAACTCGTCGCTATGATGACACACACTGACCCCCGGGGCAGATGCTCATTGTAGGAGCTGTCCACCAGTGGTGGTCAGTGCGCTCCCACAGGGGAAGCGCCGCTCCGCTAAAAGCCAGGGAAACAGCTGCCGAGCACAGGGGGGTGGTGGGAGCCTCCACGGCAGTACTTAAGTGGGCCTAAACTGTCAGTTGGACATCCCTCAAGGGGTCCTGGAATGGGAGAGGCCACGGTGCAGACTGATGGACCCACCCCAAGTGCATGAATTTGGTTCACTGAGCCTCAAGTAATATTATAATAACGGTGTATGGTGTCAGATGGGTATGAGATTAATTGCATGATTTCTTGGTCCATTATATAAAGTCTAATCATTGGGGTGTACCCCTGAAATTAACCTAAGGTTGTATGTCAACTGTCATTTAAAAAATGTTTTAAAAATTCTATAGGACCATGTTACCTTCACAGAGTCACATTTTACTTCAAGTATGTTTTGTACAGTTTGTTCTAGAAGAAAGATCTAAAGCTGAAAAAGAATAAAAAGTTGAGATATATAAATTTGCAAAATAAACCAAAGGCAACCACAAACACAACCATAAAAACCATAAAGATAAAAGCCAAGGTAAAATGCGTTTTGAGACCCTATCCCCTGTTTTTTGATACCAGGACCGAAGTACCAAGAGACTCCGAGAAGCTGTGGCTGTTGCTCCTTGTACCTCAGAGGGGTCATGGCCAAGCTACCGTCTAAGGTGCACCTCACGTCGCACCCCATCTGCCTGAGGATACGTGAGCACTCGGTGTATGAGGACGAGAAACAGCGCACGTGGGTGCATGTCGTCTTGGATGTAGGAGGTGACCTGCAAGTACGGTTGGTGCAGGACGACATCCCAATTGGGGATATCGCACTCAACACAAGCCGGCCGACCTCGAGCACCATGCCTTCGAGGTGGACGCTCCAACCTGGCAGCCTGTACGAGGACTCCATGGGCCGGTATTGGCGCATCGTGCACCATGTAAAGGAGGATGGCATAGAGGAAATTATCCTTGAGCTAATGGACAACTCGTAGGACATGTGATGGGGTCACTGGCTCTTGTCAACCTGAGCCCCAGTCCTGCTGGGCTGCTGGTGGGACGTGTATAGTTCTGTTAACCTTTTTACTAAGCTCCGTTGTTCTATCAGCCATCCCCTGGTGTGAGGACACATTGATGTTTCTCTGTCGTTCTGTTCACCTTTTTACTAAGCTCCGTTGTTCTATCGGCCATCCCCTGGTGCGAGGGCACATTGATGTCTCTCTGTCTGTCTCTTTCTCTTTCTCTCTCTCTCTCTCTCTCTCTCTCTCTATCTCTCCCTCTCTCTTTCTTCTTGTTCTTGTTATTGGTCGTCTTCTCCCCCTTTCTCTCTGTGTCTCTGTCTCTCTGTTTCTCTCTGTCTCTCTCCCTCTCTCTCAAATCAATAAAAGCATTTTGAGCCAAGCTGATGTTTCTCAGTGTTTGAGGGATGACCTGTGAACACTGAGGTCACGGTTCGATTCCTGGTCAGGGCACAGACAAGAATTAACCAATGAGCCCTGGTTTGTTTGGTTCAGTGGATAGAGGGTTGGACTGTGGACTCTGGAAGGTCCTAGGTTCCATTCTGGTCAAGGGCACATGCTCTGGTTGTGGGCTCGATCCACAGTAGGGGGCGTGCAGGAGGCACCAGATGTATGATTCTCTCTCATCATTGATGTTTCTCGCTCCCTTC